TATAGCGAGGATCCCCATAGATGGGTTATGGCCAGTCCGTGTTACAGCGAGGATCCCCATAGATGGGTTATGGCCAGTCCGTGTTACAGCGAGGATCCCCATAGATGGGTTATGGCCAGTCCGTATTATAGCACGGATCCCCATAGATGGGTTATGGCCAGTCCGTGTTACAGCGAGGATCTCCATAGATGGGTTATGGCCAGTCCGTATTATAGCGAGGATCTCCATAGATGGGTTATGGCCAGTCCGTATTATAGCGAGGATCTCCATAGATGGGTTATGGCCAGTCAGTATTACAGCGAGGACCTCCATGGATGGGTTATGGCCAGTCCGTATTATAGCACGGATCCCCATAGATGGGTTATGGCCAGTCCGTATTATAGCGAGGATCTCCATAGATGGGTTATGGCCAGTCCGTATTACAGCGAGGATCTCCATAGATGGGTTATGGCCGTATTATAGCGAGGATCTCCATAGATGGGTTATGGCCAGTCCGTATTATAGCGAGGATCCCCATAGATGGGTTATGGCCAGTCAGTATTACAGCGAGGACCTCCATGGATGGGTTATGGCCAGTCCGTATTATAGCACGGATCCCCATAGATGGGTTATGGCCAGTCCGTATTATAGCGAGGATCTCCATAGATGGGTTATGGCCAGTCCGTGTTACAGCGAGGATCTCCATAGATGGGTTATGGCCAGTCCGTGTTATAGCGAGGATCTCCATAGATGGGTTATGGCCAGTCCGTGTTACAGCGAGGATCTCCATAGATGGGTTATGGCCAGTCCGTGTTACAGCGAGGATCTCCATAGATGGGTTATGGCCAGTCCGTATTATAGCGAGGATCTCCATAGATGGGTTATGGCCAGTCCGTGTTACAGCGAGGATCCCCATAGATGGGTTATGGCCAGTCCGTATTATAGCACGGATCTCCATAGATGGGTTATGGCCAGTAACCGCTGTGGGCAGCTGTCACTTTGATCGAGTCTGTATTTTGTTTTGTTTTTGTTTTACAATGTGAGTGGATTTTATATGCACGACTTCACTAAAGAAGCAAATGTTACAGCTATTTTATTTATTTTTTATATAAATTATTTTATTGAAATATTCAGGTATAAAATACAATAATGACAAGGAACACAAATGATGATAATATATAAACAAGAACACAGGGGTTAGGTATTTCAATGAGGACACAGTAAGTATAGAAATACACATCAAAAGTACAAACTAGTCAGAATACATGTTACATTGGTTCAAAATAAGTGTTACTATAGTTTGTTGATTTACAAACATAACGAGACAACCACTTTTCTACAACAAATACAAAAACCTACACAGAATTGCATAGACTTTCAGTCATCCTAGTAATACAGAACGGGGTTTTAAAAACAAATAAGGTTGAAGGCATTCTTTTCTACATGATCGTTTTCTAATATATCTGCAGAAATCATCATGAAAATTGGGTTTAATACATTAAAAAGTAATAATTTAACTTTTAAAAAATGTGTAGCATATAATACTATGTGCATCACACTGCAAAATGTAATGTTCATAGCGGGTTTTATTAAAATAGATAGGGACCAGGGGGCGGAGCCTGTGAGCGAACCGGAGCAGTCGCCATATCTCTCAGCTCTGATGAACCGGGCCGCAAAACACCAAATCCCAGGCGAACAGAGCCAGTATCACCGGCGGACAGACCGGAAAGCAAAAGAGGGCATCGTACTGCATCAGCCGATGCCTTTCTTTCAAGCCGCAAACAGAAAAACTGCAGACGCATTACCAAGGCCTACCACATGGGAGGCCGCCAACTCAAGGCTGACTGGGCTTCCCAAGTGTGGAGCGACTTGGGCCTGACAGACCCGACCTCGGACTCACCTGCTGAAGAAGAGATGGGGCGAAAATCGTACAAACCGACGGCAAACACTCCCAAAACGCAAAGGGACATAGGCCAGATGCTGCAAACTCCACCAGCTGCCACGGCCAGAGCCCGACAAGCAGAGGAGGGAGAAGCTCCCTACGACCAAGCCCCCACTGAAGCAGAGTGCTCCAGCCCAAACAGATCAGAGGCAACAGCACCTGCTACCAAAGAGGACATACAAAAAATGCTGGCCACTTCTCAACACCATCTCAGGCAGCTGTGGGAAGCAGACCTAGACACCCTCAAAACAGAGGTAAAAACTGTGACAGCATGCACCCACACCAACGAAGAGGACATACTTACCTTAAAACAAGGCCTGACAACGCTGACCGAGCAAGTGCAACAGCTACAAGCATCACAGAGCACCATCCTCACCCAAGTTAATATCCTTGACGACAGGGGCAGAAGGAAAAATATTAAACTAAGGGGAGTCCCTGAGGCTCTCCCTAGACAAATTCCCACACTTTATCAGAAAACTGGTGTCCACCCTAATCCCGGCACGGCAGGCTAAACACTTCTTTGAAGGCCCCTTACAACAGCGCCACGTGACATCATTTTGTGATGCCACACACTAACAGACAAAATGGGCCTACTGACAGCCCTAAAAGGAAATACCCCGTACCAGTTCGAATCCAGCCATATCTCAATCTTTCAAGATCTGAGCAGAGCCACCCTCATGTGGCAAAAATAAATGTGACACATAAATCGCAAAATGTTTGGAGTACGGTTATCTTACTATATTTCATGCATATACACCCCCCCCCCCCTTGGTAATAGATAAAAGGAAGCAGACTACATTTTCTTAACATAAATCTGCTTAAATATGAAGAGGATATACCAAATGTCAAAATGTGATTTATATTTATTTATTCCCCAGACAATTAGTTGAGATGTTCTGGGTTTCTAGCATGTACGCACTTAATACCATAGAATTCTTGTGATGATCTGTTTGCGCTCTGAGGGCGGCCATTTTAAGTGATCCTTGGTTGAAGTAGCAATTACCTGAACAAATGTCCCAGTTTGCTTCTTTTTCTCCTAGTAGTAAGCGGCTGCCATTAACGCACTGAACATGCAGGAAGCCAGACAAAGCAAGGTAATCTGGGTAAGGTAAGTGGCTTCTGACTGAGTGAACATGTAGAGGTCACTGCTGGACTTGTATGTTAACACACATATAAATGCAAATAAAACTTAACAAAATATAATCATTAAATTATTTTACATTAATATAGGTAATATCTCACTATTAGCCCTGTTTAGGATACCATAAGTTTCCCTAACATGTAATCAGATGGCTGTTGCATTGACATTTCTGACTACCAGTGTCCTACTCCATGTGGGATGTCTGTTTTGTTGGTTAGAACAGTTCAGTAACACATTTTCATGACATCACATTTGACACACAACATCCACAAGAGAGAGATACATTTCTGTGTTAATACAACAGGTTCGTGTGTGGGAACCATGTTCAAGTTGGTGTTTTGTTTTTGTTTTTTTTAATCAGTGCAAATGTTTATCACAACCTCCTCAAGGATAAGCACACACTATGTTCTCCTTCTAAGAGGTATAGTTTTCTCAACGCACTTGGGCAAACTCCTTGCGCAGCCAGAGAGAGTCATGGTAGAAGCGGGAGTCTCCAAGACTCAGAGCAGTCCTCTTGTAGAAGTAAAAATACAGTACAGCCACTGTCAGAATAAATAGGTTAGAATTAGGGGCTCTGAAATAAAGAAACCCACATCCAACTTCTACATCTCAGTATAGCATCACTTACAGCCCAGACACGGCTCAACTGGCAGTCTCAGTATAGCATCACTTACTACCCAGACACGGCTCAACTGGCAGTCTCAGTATAGCATCACTTACTACCCAGACACGGCTCAACTGGCAGTCTCAGTATAGCATCACTTACTACCCAGACACGGCTCAACTGGCAGTCTCAGTATAGCATCACTTACTACCCAGACACGGCTCAACTGGCAGTCTCAGTATAACATCACTTACAACCCAGACACGGCTCAACTGGCAGTCTCAGTATAGCATCACTTACTACCCAGACACGGCTCAACTGGCAGTCTCAGTATAGCATCACTTACAACCCAGACACGGCTCAACTGGCAGTCTCAGTATAACATCACTTACTACCCAGACAGGGCTCAACTGGCAGTCTCAGTATAGCATCACTTACTACCCAGACACGGCTCAACTGGCAGTCTCAGTATAGCATCACTTACTACCCAGACACGGCTCAACTGGCAGTCTCAGTATAGCATCACTTACAACCCAGACACGGCTCAACTGGCAGTCTCAGTATAGCATCACTTACTACCCAGACACGGCTCAACTGGCAGTCTCAGTATAACATCACTTACAACCCAGACACGGCTCAACTGGCAGTCTCAGTATAGCATCACTTACTACCCAGACACGGCTCAACTGGCATTCTCAGTAGTGAACTACTTTACAGGCCCAGTAAGAGAGCAAGAAAGAGCATTTCTACGCAGCCTGTAGAAATATACACTTACCAAATCGCTGAAGCACAAATAAAGCCTGTAGTCCATCAGACCAAATAAAATGGTTCACAGTATTCCAGCGCAAATTCTAGGAAGCAAAATTAAAGGACAGTGTTACATCTATCAAACATAAATGATTTTCTGGAAAGATATACAAATGATATTTCTATAAAAACAATATATTTTCCTATTGATTCTTTCCTGCCAATAACATGTACACCTGTCTTGAAAGGTCAGACTAAGCAGAAAAATGACTTCCGCTTTATGAAGTGACAATTGTGCTGTAATATCTACCTAATTCTCTGCCATTACAATGGCTGTCAATCATACAGACTCCCTCCATACTTCCTAAAACCACAGATCCATTTAGATCCAATCTTACTTTTACCTGAACTCTAGCAAAGTGCTTACTTTAGGACTTGCAATGATGGTGTCCTTCTCTCTCTATTCAGAGCTGTGCAGCAACTAATGTGGTCTAGGTCAGCATAGTGTTAACTTGATGACATGCTGAGCGTTGGGGCGATCCTAGCAGCCCCCTGTCTGATGTACAACAGGGATCTCACCCAAACACTGAACAAAAGTCTGATGACTTGGGACTCTTTATAGCACATTATAATTCTACAATTAATTTAATAATGATATATCATTTATTAATAGGATTTCAGGCAGCTAGAAAGGGAAAGTTGAAAAGGAAATAGGCATCCATTCAATTTTAAACTGCATTGTTCAAAAGCATTAGAAAATATCCATTCTCTAACCTAGATATTCCCTTTAACATCTTAACCCTGCAGAGAAAATACATTTCTCTATGAGCGTTTTTGTATGTCAAACTTTATGGTTGTATAAGAACAGCTAGTGGAGTGGTCATGAGGAAGGAAGGGCTCTGAGATCACAACAGGTTTTCTCTGCTGACCTCAATACTCCACACTGCCAGATGCATAAGCCCATATTTTCTGCTTGTAGTCCTCGGTTTCCCTTTTTGTGCCAACATTAAAGCTGCACTGATTTTCTCTTAATATTCTCAGAGAATATTTCAGATCTTAACATTCTACTGTACAAAGTGGATAAACTACCTACAACTCACACAAACCCTTGCTATGCGCCTGAAGTGCAGTTAATGAGCGTAAGCTAAGCAAGCTGCATCACTCCCTGTTTATAAAATATCTGGGGGTTATTTTATAATTAGTAGGAAAGAACAGTGACTACCCAAACAACGTTTAATGGCCACTGTCACAAAATTAGCTTCAGTGTCTAAGTCAACCTCCCAACAGTATGCTAGTGAAAGAGTGAATTAATTCAAGAGTCTCACCATAATCCAAACATGTAGTGATATGCTAAGAGCCAAGTGAAGAGCACACAGAAAGACTGTGACTTGGAAACGTTGACAGAGGAGGTTGAGAAGTCCGGTTTGGAACACGAATGTGTTAAA